CTCATTGCGTGCACTAAAAATTTTTAAAAAAAATACAGAAGAAATCTGCGATACAACTAGAGAATAAGACTTAGAAAAAATAACAAACTGAAACAATTAAAATAAAAAAACTGGAAAAATGAAAAAACAATCAGTTACAGAAAATTAGTCCAGGCACACAACCATTTAGCTTAAATGAGCTTTACTAATTCTCACAGCGACCACTAAACCGACGATACAATGGTCGTCGCCCATTGAACCGAAAACAGCAAACAAAAAATAAGAAATGGTTGCACACAGAGTCGAAGTTGAACTTCGCATAAACAAGCAAAAATATGGCCGATAATGCAACTGGGAAAACCTGAAAACTGAATAAGTGAAAATTCCAGTCTACAAAACTTACAAGTGACGCGCGCCAATAATTATGTGTCTACATAATTGCTAAGTGACGCAAGCCAATTATGACGCATTAGCAGTACCAGTCAGTTTGAAAGAAAAATAAATTTACCAACTAACATGCCTCAATTTATAGAGAGGACGCATTTTCACGAAAAAAGTATACGAGAAAGTTAATAAGAACATCCGACCCTGCCCAGGTTCGCACCCTCGTATTTTGTTGCGGTCTCCTTCCCAACCTCTACACTACAGATTCATGATAGCTTACATCTAAAAAGCTACTAGAGGCCCAGCTAAAGCTGGAGGTACCGGTTTGATATTTTTTTTGAATTTACTGATGCTGGATGAAGTAGGTTATTTAAAAAATTTACGCATTGAGCTTCACTTAAAACCTTGGTTGTTGCTCTATTGAAAAATTAAAGAAAAATTTTGTAATTCTGGAACTTCTTACAACCTGTTAGCCTTGACTAAACCTTTGATATCAGATTGAGTTGATTTCGACAAGTCAAAAATTTAAAACGGACAAGAAATCAAAATATTGTTTTTCTGGAAGTCATAATTTTTTCGTGTTAGAAAAATTGAACATGAGCACTTTACACAGAGCCCTTTCTCACTTCATTGAAACAGACAAAAAAAACTTTCAAATTTTTGGGTGAAAAAAACTTGGGCGCAACGGTTTATGCAAGAGAGCTTCCCACAACCCGTTCTACCTATAGAAACCAAAATCTCAGATTTGGGAGGGTACTTTTCGAGAAAAGCCAAAAAGCTTGAAAAAGGTCAAAAATCGAAAATTTGACTTTTCGGAGGGTCATAACTTCTTTATGATAAAAAAATTGGGCGTAATCATTTATGCAGCGGATCTTCTCACAGCCCATTCTACTCATTGAAACCAAATCCTCAGATTTGTGAGGGTAGTTTTTGAGAAGAATTGAAAAGTTTCAAAAAACGGTTACAAAAATAGTAAGTTTGACTTTTCTGAGGGTCATAACTTTGTGTGAAAAAAATTAGCGTAATCGGTAAAGCAGTGAAGCTCCCCACAACCCATCAGTTCGATTGCAATTAAAATCTCAGATTTGGGAGGGTAGTTTTTGAGAAAAGTGTAGAAGTTTCAAAACGTGGTAAAAAAATCGGAAAATTGACTATTTTGAGGGCCATAACACTTCGTGTTAAAAAAATTGGGCGTAGCCGCTTATGCGGGGGAGCTTCCCTTAACCTGTTTTATCCATTCAACACAAAATCTCAGATTTGGGTGGAAAGTTTTCGAGAAAACGCAAAAAATCCAAAAATTGGGGTCAAAAATTCCCCCCACACACTTTTTCGAAGGCTGTAGAAAGTGGTGTAAGGTAGAAAGAGACTAGGGGAATATGCAGGCAAACAAGGGAGTGGCCGGACTCGCCATAAGTACCTAACATTCTTTTCAAATTCGGTAGACTACTTTATGAGAAAAACGAAAACTTTCCAAAGCTTCTAGAAAAAAACGATCCCATACATTGTCATAATACCTTTTTTTATCAAACAGGAGTTTGTAATAAAATAGTCAGTATTAATATCCTTATATTGGCTGTACTTAATAGCTGGTTATTGATCAAAATGAACACTTTCAAAATGAACACATTTTGCCGCAACAATATTTGCGACTTAGGTAGGAAAAAAAGATAGTTCATACTATAACACAGGCTCTGCTTGTGTAAAAAAGGTTGATAAAGCAAGCTCAATTTCTATTCCAGTGAAGCGGAGCTTCGGAATACTTGCGATCCAAAAAAACGCATTGCGCTAGTAGAGATTGAATGGAAAAAAAATCTGGAACAAAACCCTTGCTTTAAAAAAGAAGCCAATAAACCCTACTAGATAAAAAAATGGCTCTCAAAATAAAACGGAAAATGAACCGACAGAAACTAGGACGAAAAGCTGTGTCCTGTGAACAAAACTATTTGCGGGGGAAATCTGGCACCAGATTGCAAAACCCTTGCTTATGGCAAGGGTAAACAGATTTGTTAGAACATTTGTTCAAGGGAAGAAAACTATAGTTCCCGATTACAAGACACTTGCTCTCTGAAGTGTAAAGAAACGTTTACCAAAAATAGACAAAAACAGAGGATGATTGAAAGATACATTCAAAAATGAAAAACCACAGATTAAAAGCATTTGATTGATGAACTCAAATCATTCAGCAAACTTTCAGGGAAAAAAACTGATAAAACACCGACGAAATTTCTAAAATATCTGTATTTTATAAGAAGAATCATTAAAAACTGATTTCAACAGAAGCAAAGTGGAGCTTCGCCATACTTGCGATACAAAAAATATTATGCTATTTGAGATTATACGCATGAAACATGAGAAATTAATATTTGAAAAACCGCAACATAATTCGAACTTTCCAAAAAGTCAAGTTTTCCAAGACTAATCTCAATCAATCTAGTTTCGATTGCTTATTGAAATCATGAAAGCTCATTTAACAATTTCAAAACACAGTTGATAGAATCACTTAAGAAAAAAATTGTAATCAGATAAAATCATAACTTCAACTAGTCTAAGATATAAGATTCCATTCATAGCTTTCGTCTGTCTAAAGGTAGTAATGAGAAGAATTAAATAAACACCTATTTTTTTTATATTGGGAAAATTCATTGAAACTTAATTGACCGCACCATTGCAGAAATCAATCAGATTGACTTTCAATTATAGTAAAAAAAGACCAGACTCTGGAAACTTAGCACACAAATATTAAGCAGACAAATGAGAGCCCGACACCTTAATTTTCAAACTAGAAAAATTTCGATGAACTAAGGATCTTGGAGGACTCGAACAAGAAAATTTGGTAAAGGAAAAGTCTAGTACCCAGCTGCAAAACCCTTGCTAATCGCAATTGTAAGTTTCCATCCTTGTAACCGATTACAAAAGCAGCTTTTAAATAAGCGTCTACAGCGATTGACGCGTCAAAATGGACTTAAGACTAAGTCGAATGAATTTCGAATAAAACCATGGAACGAAAAATTCAGGACTAAATTGAATACAAATTTGACCGTTATGCATGCAATTTTCATAAGCCTTCATCCAGCTTTTCAGTCCCATTACATTAGGATCTAGACGAAAAACATCTCTGGAATAAACTTTGATAGAATTAAGGCGAGAAACATTGAGCCGAAAATTTTCTAAAATAATTGCAAAAATGGCTGGACTGCGACTATCTACTTATGACGGCCAAGTCTGAGAAGTTACATCTACGACAACAGTGCACTTTTAAAATCCATAAATCGGTAACTATTATCAATCGATTATAATTTATCGTTCCAGACTAAATTGATCAGTCTGTGAACAAAGTTTCTAACGTGAAAAAAGTTAGAACCCAGTGAAAAACCCTAATGTCGCTAATTGCACGAGTAATTAATTGCAACGAACACTTGCAATCAAATTGTTTGTTTTTATTTATTTTACCTGTAATGGCTTTCGAGACTAGTGCCCACCAACCTCCGGAAAAGTATGGTCATTTTGAACGAACATTAATGATTTAATTGTTCTTCAGTTCAGTCCGAGAAGCAAAACATGCAGGTAGAAAGAAGTTGCAACTACCTTTTATTCGGATCCTTCAGAGAGTGCGACTTCTTCACTTGAATATTTCTCCTACACTTGGCACCTACGTGCGAGATATTTAGCAATTCAACTGCTTCGTCCAATTTGAGCCGCTGTTACATTGCGCCTCCAGTCAATATTATGTTTATATTCGCATAGCAGCTGTCTTGTTAAAACTTTGCTGAAAGACACTTGGAACCTTATAAATAAAACGAGACATCTGCTTTTTCAATCAAATTGAAAATTAACTTTCTAAAAAAAATTATTAGTTTGATCATTAAATTCGCAATTGCGACAAATCTAATTGAATAATTTTCAGAATGGGTGCTCTGCATTTCAATTATTCGAAACTATTTACCAATTTTGAACAATTGTTGAAATGCCGAGCAAAATACAACAGAATAGTCAAATAGTTATGCAAATACTTGCTTGCTTTGTACAAAAAATAAATTCTAATCAACCGAAAGGAAAGTTTCGCGATTAATAATGATTTCAAACGGCAAAATTGAGGAACGTAGCATTGTTACAATACAGTTTAACATACATATAATATAGCACGATTTGTACGTAACTTCGCAAGAAAGACCCTGCAATATCAGCTGCTGTCTAGCTGCGAAAACGCGTGAACAATCCAGATGTTTGGTTCCAAGTAAAAGCCCACTGGATTGCAGCGGGTAGATGAATATGGAATGAACTAAATACAAAGTAGATACCATTAGCATCCGCTATCTGCTACTAAACACAATCAATAAACTTCACGCAGGTGGTTTTAAAATACACAAGGCTTAACTGGGACAGTTACAACAAGTACCATTAGTAGACTAATTCAACTAGTTTTTGGGCACTACTGGAAATAAACAGATGCAGCCTTTGGTCGAAAATTACCATTTGGTTCGCAAATTTTGAAACCACCGAGTAAACTCGAATTTAGATTGACAGTTTCTAGCTCGAATTTTTGCAAAAAAAATATATTCTGAAAAAGGAAAAATCAGTCGCAAAAATGTGTACTTTTTTCGAGATTCGGTAGTTGAATTCAAAACGAGCACATTACGAGACCAAAATGTGTATTTTGTTCATTGTATTTTGTGCATCTCGTTCAGCACGGAACAAATTCTTGATAACTATGAGCCTTTCGTTGTCACTATTGTCGACCTAGGAGTTTAGCTACATCTGCTTAGTGCATAAAGTCACCTTTTCATTTGCATATAATGTAAAAATTGAATTTAAATCATCGGTTATCAAGTTAGTGTCTGTTTTAAACTGCTGTACATGGGACGTAGTAAACTGGTTGACAGATGGAGATTAAACTTCAGGGCTACCAACACTGGGAACTCAAAGTTCAGCAAGTCACTTCTGTTTATCTTGTAAATCGAGCACAAGTTCGAAACCAGTTTTGTAAGCTGCTGACCTTTGATGTCGTTCATTTTAGCCGCTAGTATAGCACAACATGCGGCTGAATAACGTCTGTTAGCCTTGCTGACTCGCTCGCAAAACACCAACTTCTCGAAGTATGTAAGTGCATAACATGCTACACAGAGATCAAATTGACACTCGACGTACAAAAACTTACTGAGCTGCAATTTCATGCTCCGTAATTTGGTAAGGGTCAGTTGTATGTAGGGGAATCTGTCCTTGAACCGTTCGTTAACGTGCATTTTACTTGTGGGATGTTCTTCATGATGTAAGAGAGAAGAGCGGTATCCGGGAAGTTTAAGATAAGTTTTGGAAGCGTAGTTCAGTGAGGGATCGTCTAGAAAACTTGGCGCGTAAGAGTAGGAATTGTTGCGAACTTGGTCCGGAATGAATTCGGCTGAGGTAAAACAAATAGGCTGTTGGACTGTGACGGCAGATACTTGACGTTGGTATCTGATAACTGGATCCACCATTAAAGTGCTCGAAGAAGTCCCACATCTTGAAGACTTCCTTGAACTTTCATCACCACTACACACAGGCGCAGCTGCAGTTGAGTGCCTCGATGTTCTAGACTTGGCATAAACAGGAACTAAATAACTTTCACCTTGACTATCCAGGCTTAATATGCGAGACCCAAACGGACACGATTCAATTTCTTCAGTGCGATTTGTAACTCCCAGTAAAACGGCATGGCTACCATCCTTATTTCTAGAATTGAAAAGCAAGTAAGAGAAGTAAGCTCCATGTGAGCTAGATTGATTACTTGAATTCGATACATCGTTCACTAGCAAGTAATATGAGACGCATGGTTCTTTCTCTTCGAATTCAAGAACAATCACTTCTTCCAGTAAATGAGATAAGAAGCGGTCGTTTGAAGTTGGAACCTGGAGTACTTTCACCCCTCTGGGCCTAGTTGCCGGTCCCAAACAAGCTTTATTGTTAGCGCGACTGTAATTAATCGCGCAAAACATAGAGAACGGAGCTCTTGATTTATTTCCACTAGTGAGTCCTAGATACCGCTGGGTGCTCAAATCCGAGGTATCCATAGATCCATTTGGGAGATCCTCACCCACCATACTGTTCAGAATGATAGTGGCCGAGGTGTTCATGCCTCCGTTACTACTGTCTAGCGATATCGTTCGTCTTTTCATCGCGCTTCTCAGAACCTTCGAGTGATTTTGTCCCCAGGTCTTCGCTAGGGCGATTGGCGAAAACAGACCCTTGATTGGTCCCGATGGTGCATTTGAAGAAGAGGTGCTTCCCGCTCCATCCGTACTTTCACTACTAGACTTTTGGCTACCATAGCGAGCAGATTCTTCCACAAGCGTCGCTTCGGAAATTGCGCAGCTCTCATTTTGGTCCAAACCTGAAGGCACATATTTCACGCTTCCTACATCTATCGCTAGTGGCCTCCTGCGCATTGAAACCGCATCCTGTTCTTGTCCCAAGCCGTAAATTTCAGCTTCGTAAACATCTTCTAAATTACGTAATCTGCTATCATCTGATTGGTTGAAGCTGAACGGATGTTTTGAATCTGCGCAACGTGATAAACTAGCGTCTGATAACAGCCAATGACCTGTGGGCGAAGTAATCGTAGAACATCTCTTATGTGGTTGAAATTGAGTGTTCGGCTCATCCGAGCTAGTGGCCGTATATGTTCTTCCTCTATCAGGGGGCTCATCGGATTCTTCTGGGGAGGGTTCGTCCAGGGGGGCTAGGGAGGTGGATGCGCTGCCTTTGCCCGAGCCCCCCTGGGCCTGCGCAGCTCCGAGGCAAATTCCACTGAGAAAGTCGCAGGCGAGGGATTCACGATTAGAATTAAAGGCACATTGCTCTTTGATCATAGCTTGGTTCACTGACGACCAGACTTGAACTGAACAGTCAAAAATCTGAAACCAACTACGACATTGACTTTAGAGAAAAATTTTGAGACATGCTATAAAGCCTTATGTTCCTCATAACTAGTTATGATATTTCATGAACCTTCACTAAAAAAGAAACATTCATTGTGAAGAAAACAAAATTATAACTAGACATAATTTTGTACATTGCTTTTCCATATATTTGCAGTTTTCCTGCATATACAGACACCAACACCAAGGAAAAAACCAGATTCGAAATCTATTTTCAAAAATTACATTTTTAAATCCACCTAAAAGATTTTACGAGATATCTCAGCACACTAACAGAAAAGACCCTATATTGACACAACAACTTGTACTAAAAACATGTCAGAATGCCTTGTTTCATCATTTTTGGAAGCGAAGTTCGATGAAAAAAATTGGTTGTGTGATCAGCGCTACCGCCATAAGGCCACAAATAGTGCAAATTTGGCGTTGGTCGACCAGCCATGGATGTCCTTAAACAGTACCTTTTGGGTGTTGGGTGGATCGAACCTCAAGGGAGGGATGGGGATTAGCGCGTTCTCCATTGAGCACAAGCGTTTCTTTTATCGAATCAATAAAATTTATGAAGCAGCATGTTCACATGGAAAACATATAAAAAACCATTACTGCCGGTTGCCGAATACAAAAAAGTAGACTGCATTACATAATCTGACAACTAGCTTCGCTTGCGTAATGATGCTCATTAGCTCAAAATATCATTTGAGATCTAAGGACCACCTCCCTGCCTCGTTACTACTTAGTAATTCATGTCTCTAAAATATATAACTCGATTGTGACAACCAGGTTATGCACTGACCGAAAATTTGAAGCAGGTCACGCAAAAATTCAGGAGTATAAGTATTAAACGCCAGGTAAAGTAACACGCTGAAAGAAAAAAGTAATAAAATTTCTATAGAAACAGTTAGTTACATAGTTACACTACCGAAAAGCACATTAAAAATTGCAGTGCTGTCAAGAGTTAAAAAAAATAAATGAGATTTTCCTGCAAAATATCTACAATAAATTCAATATATTGGGTTTGGAAGGCAACATAAGGCTATTTTTTCGAATGAAATATATATTTTTACTGATATCCGTTGCATGTAGAAAGCTAGCTTGCCACTTGGGAGTAGAGTGAAGCTCCATTTTGAGAGGATATCTTTTTGACGCCAAAATATTTGTTTGCATTTTTCAATCAAACAAAGCGCGCATCGGATTGTTTCATTGAAATTACCATTGAGACGCAAAATTTCATAATCCGACTTGAAAATCAACCAACAAAATCTATTTAAACAAAACAAGCTAGCTGAGTTTTTTTTGGGAAAAAACGCAGACCATCTAAGCCTTTGGACAGCAAGCTCTTGAAAACTACGCCGATGAAAAAAGTATTACAATTCTATTAGTTGCTCTGTCTTTAGGTCAGTTGAGCTAGTCTTACCATTGTCTGCAAGGATGTGCATTGATGGATGGTAAGTGGAAGACGGCATTTTGAAGGAATGGAAAGGCATCGAGACAATAAATTCACCTGCTTCTATTCCGCAACATTTCCCTTTGAAACAACTAACCGAACTCGATGCGCATAAATGTTTCAATGGATTAGAATACAAATAAATGTTTGAATATTATGCAACTAATTGGTTCAAAATGGCGCCAAATTTTCAAACACGCCAGTCAAAACGGATAAAAATAGATATTTTTGTTCGTAATAAAAACTTAATTATCAACCGTTGATACCACTATTCAGACCACAAGTTATAATCAAACACTACCAATAACATCAATAATTCACACTGGTTTTACAAAAACATCATCTGCAGCCACATGAATAACTTTTCAAGCGCCAGTTAGTCTTATGTTAATGCCTCATTGAAGTGAGGTATGTGCGAAATACAAATAATTTCTAGAGTTCAGACAAAAATAATAGAGAGACGAAATTACACTACACATACACAACACAATAAAACACTTAAAAACAAAGAAATGAACCGATGGTTTGAACAATTTTTTTGAAAAAATTGAAAAAGATTCGCTTAAGATGGGATTCAAACCCGCAACTCTATGTTCATAAACTACAAGCTGCAACACTCAACAGCGGCTGATAGATACAAGCTAATAGTTGGTTTCTAAATCATACGATTCGATTCACATCTATAAATGCTAAAACAGTACGCGTATTACCCACTGTTACACGCGTAGATGCAAGCAATAAGCATAAAAAGTGCACTGCTGCAGAACCTTTAACTTAACTTCTCGACATACAAAAAAGGGACCACGCAACATAATACTGGACTTTAACGCGTACAAGTAATAGGCAGAAGAGCTCGAAAATTCTAATGAGTTCTCTAGATGGTGGAAGCAGACCGCATTAATGAACCGAAAATGTTTTTTTTTCTTTTCGACAATCAAAAAACACAAAATCTCAGTCAAACTCGTTTTATTTTCATAAAAGCTTATAATTCTCATATTTCTGATGAGACAATGAGCGAAAATGGGATCAATAAGTCAGGGGCGCATGCAGGATTTTCTCGAGTGGGGGGGGGGGGCGGATTTTCGAAAGGTCGATAAAAAAAATTTTAACGACCTTTTTGTTTAGGTCGACCAAGTTGAATTTCCGAGCTCTCCTAATGGGCTCTTTTTCCTCCTCCTCCTCCTCCTCCTCCTCCCTCCTCCCTTACAATTAAAGGTTTTATTTTCTCTTTTCAAATTAATGTCGTTTTTCAGCGCAATGAGCTGAGACAACTTTACCAACGCAACGTTAAGGAATTGGACATAATCGACAACAGTTCTCTTCAAAAATTGAGCTTATCTGACACGAATGTCTGACTTTGTGCAGTATAATTTTTTGACCTTTTAAAAAAATTTGATTGCTCATAGCAAAACTGATTTAAATGAAATCTTTTAGTCTAATTTGAGCTAGCTTTCTTCGCTCAAAATTACACATTAAATCAAAAACTTTCGACCAGTTTTTTTTTGACACTAGGACAACAATAATAAAAGAAATTTATTATTCTCATGCAAATTACGAAGGAGAGGGCCTAGATTTGCTTCGACCAATTCTGATCATTATCTGTGGTACCTGATTTTGTCTGAAAAAAAACTTGAACAAACTCGCAGACAAAACTCTTTCATATTTTCAATGGTCGTAACCACCAGCGGATTTCCGGGGGAGGCGGACGACCCCCATCAGGTATTCGACCCCCTGCGGACCTAAGGGGCCCCCTTCGTACTTTTTTGAGATATCTATTTTTGGCCGCCTGACTCTTGGCGCCAAAATACACTTATTTTTTTTTTGGCGCCAAGAGTCAGGGCGCGCCAAAAAACGCGCACTTTTACGGTCCAAATGTTCAAAAAAAAAGCCTAAAAATGCGTTTTTTGGCATGTTTATTCAAGAAAGCTCGTACATATTTCTCTGACAAAGCTCGACCGTTTTTGAGTTTTTTTGCGTTTTGGTTAGTGTGTCCAACTGTAACTGAATTGAAAACTGTAACTGAAACTGTTACTGCACAACTGAAATGGTTTTGATCAACTGAAACTGTAACTGAAACTGAAACAGCCGGATGTTTTGAACTGTAACTGAAACTGTAACTGAAACCAACTCCGGTCCTTGTTTCAGTTAGAGTTTCAGTTACAGTTACAGTTGCAGTTTCAGTTGCAGATAGCTTAGTATAAATACTTGACGCAATTCATACGTTTCCAGATCGAGATGGCAGCAACAACAACTGGTCGCAAGCGTAGCAACCCGGTGCATCAATACTTTGTTATAGATGAGAGCAAGACAGCGTACAGATGTACGGACGACGACTGCGAGTTCACAAGTCTGGTGAAGCATGGTCCTACCAACCTCAAACTGCACCTCAAAAAGAAGCACCCTGAATGGCAAAAGCAACTCGAAGTCAAAGAAACAGCAGAAAAGAAGGCGAAAACAGACTCTCAATCACGGAAAGTCACAACCATGGAGAGCTTCGTCAACATTGCAGGGAGCAGCTCAAGATCAGCAACTACTCCGCTCCCAGCAAGCGACTACCGCCAGCGACGTCTGAATGAATTGCTAGCGACTTATGTTGCTGCATGCCCAAGAGCAAGTGCGAATATGATTGCTGACAAGAAATACGGATTGAATGACTTGACTTTTGATTGAACTCGTTAAGTTTTTGTTTCTTTGTAAGTTTTGTTTTCAAATTCAACATGTTGTTTGATTCAATTTTTCCAACTGAAAGCTTCAACTGAAACTGTAACTGAAAGAAAAAAACTGTAAAAACTGTAACTGTAACTGAAATGGAAAGACCCGGAAAATCAGAACTGTAACTTTAACTGAAACTGAAAAACAGACGAAAAGAATTCAGTTGGACACACTAGTTTTGGTCGATACCGATGAAATCGGAGCTGGGTATTTGAGAACACAACTTAACTCTTCCGCTCAGAGAAGTCTGAAAACGGACCAGAAGGTCTCATGATCATCTCTCAGGCTAAGGTTTAATGGTTGTAAATGCAGTTTTATAACAATCATTACTGGTATACTAGCCTGGAAACATTTATTTTATTATTAAAGTATACTAACTTTGAGGGGGAGTGCTTGCCAGAAAAAGTTCTGTAGTCAAAATTTTTCAAAAACTGCTTAAAAACGGTCTGCTAATGTTCTAGAAGAGCTAAAAAACTCAATTTTGTCGACCTGAAAATGGTTGACAAAATTTTCAAAAACTTTTTGAAAAAATCCTAGATCCGCGCCTGGTCGTAAAAATTAGAAAAACGGGAGATACGAAATGAACCTTCAGTAGACGCAAAAGAAATCAACCTAAAATTGTAACGATTTGACTAAAAAAATAAACATTCCCTTCGTTCACTAACACGATAAACTGGAATAAGTAAAAATAGCGATTCTAGAATTTTCTGTTTTTATATTTTCGTCATACCATAACACATAACTGCGTTTTATGAATTTACACAGAGGCGAAGCTGCGCTCCAAAAACACTAGCAAGAACACGAGAAAAAAGCTACTTTAAAAAGTGAAG